ATTGAATCTGATTAGACCGTTAGCATCTCGCTCAAAAATGACCAAAGAGTTTCTATATTTTTCCTATTTAAAACTTGACTCTTCTGTAGTTACATCGTGCAATGGTATTACGCAGCGCCTGAAAATAGTCCCCAGCACGCTCCCTGTGCAAGCAGCTGGTCACGTTGGTTATGTTGACGGAAGTTAGCCTACTTTCAGGCACTGCGTAATATCATTGCGTCTGCTGCACTCACGGTACGGCAGCAAAGTTCCTTGATTATTACGCCGGAATGAGAGTATAGTTCCTAGCCATATCGGCCGAGAAAATCACAACTTTTCATTTTCCGTTGGTCTTAGTACACGATGTAACTACAGAAGAGTCAAGTTTTAAATAGGAAAAATATAGAAACTCTTTGCTCATTTTTGAGCGAGATGCTAACGGTCTAATCAGATTCAATGGTCTATGCTAAGCTAAGCTAAAAGTGCTACCGCCAGACCCTGAGATCGGCCGAATGGATTTGAAAACGGTAAAACTCAACTGATTAACTCTAGAGGAGCTGGAAAATGAGTGGCGTGTTCCTTTAAGACTGGTTTTGTGGTCCAGGGTCACAATTACACTCTTCACTACAGGGGCTCCAAAGTCGCCAAAATACACAAAACGACACTCAGTGGCTTTAACTGTTCACAGATGATTTCAAGCTTTAACTGATTTTACACAAAAAATGAAAGCATCAAACTGCAGGGCTCCATAAAAACGATGAAATATTTCCTATTTAATTAACAGTGAGAGGTTGAACTTTCCCTCTAACGAATACGAAAGCACCGACTCCTCCTGGGTTCCTGATGAACAACTCGAGATGATCCACTGTAAACCGGTGTTGTGAGCGTCTCCTCACCTTCCAGCTCCACCTCCTCGCCCACCACCGGCAGCCCCTCGCGCACCACCTGCGGCCGCCTCCTGCAGGAGGAAGAGGAGGAGGAGTTCGTCCTGCGCTCCTGCGAGGGAGGCGGCGTCTCAGCGGTGGGAGAGGTGATGGCCTGCAGGAGCCCCATCGCTGTCACAGCCATCTGAGACGAGGCCGCCGGGTCCGGGAGCGTCAGGAGCGAGCGCTGCTTCTTCTTCTGATGAGATCCGGAGCTGCTGTGATGATCTACACAAGAGAAACACACACACACACACACAGTTCTCCTCTCACATCTCTTCACTAAAGACAGATGTACCATGATTCCTGAGGTGATGATAGACGCTTCTGATACTTCAGTTCACTTAGAAATAAAGTAAACGCCAAATTCTCAGAACTACATGAGCCATAATCCTGAAAAGAGATCGGCCGATCAGTAAAGTGTTGTGTGTTCTGACGCTCTCAAACTATCAGCGAGCTCTACTCAATATATTCTGGTGTGACTGTCATTCCCTCCCCTGTCTGTTTGACTTCCAAACACATTTTGGAATCAAATTAAATAATCTAGTGATCACCCTGCACTGGCTCGATCTATGAATGGAAAACAAGAACTTCTAGAATTGAAAGGCACTTACTCTACAGAAATCACTAGAGTCACACACCTCTGTAGAAATGATCCTCATAGTGCTTCTTCTTCTGAAGCTCGCCGCCGGAGTAAAAGGCATCAGTGTCCTGCGAAGAGCAGAGCTCAGTTTCTACACAACACATCTGAGCTGATCTCTGAGATGATGAAGATGATGATGATGATGTACCTTGAGCCATTTCTTGGAGGTCTTGCGCACCTCTGCGTCGATGATCTCTTCTTCTCTCAGCAGATCTTTGTAGGATCTTCTCTTTTCTCTCTGACTGCGGCCGGCGACCAGACTCACCTCACCCTCCATCTACACACACACACACACAGACAGAGAGAGAGAGACACACACACA